GGGGGTGTTAAGGAGGATGGCAGCAGCTCCAGTAAGATAACAGGGAGCAACACGGGTTTTCACCACTTTTGCCCGATGGGTCTCTAATTTGTTCCCAACAATCCGCAGTAAAGCTGTGTTAGAGTGGTAGAAAGTCAAGCAATAGGAAAGATATTATCTAAAAAATGCTGCAATATACCTATGTACTTTCAACACAGATAATACTATTTCATTTAATGAATATAAAACAATAATAAACAACATATCAATAAACAGAGAACAGTGACTTATTATCTTGTAGTTTTTATAAAAAAGATGAAGGCAGGATATATTTTTATAAATAATAAAATATAAAGCCTCAGGTTTCTTATTCCTGTTTTTTGTTTGTGTAAATTAATTGGTCCCATAGGGAGAAAAGATATCTAATTGACTCCAGCTTCCCACCTGTGGTGCATAGTGAGTTGAGAACTGTGTCTGTGTATGTATACTGCAATGGGAAAACAATAACGTTCAAACCAAAACTAAAAGGGGAGCGTTAATATGGAAGTGAGAACTGTAAATATGGTTTAAGTTGTTTTTATCATGTAAATGGGAAAAAATAGTGGACTGTTGGCTAGGGTGAATAAATCTCAAGAAAAAATGTCCTTCCTATTTTTGTGTTCGTTCAATATATTGTGCTCATCTGCAGTTTAGAGAAGGATGTGGGGGAACAAATCATGAACCTACTGTTGTATGGCAGATAAAAACTCCTGGTGTTTAAGTATTATGTATTTGGCAGACCATAATGCAGGCATGGCCCATTGTTCAGGGCACAGTGTGAAATTCAAAATAGCGGGGCTATATAATTGTACAAAAGCATGCATATCACTGAAATGTAGTGATGTTTCCAGGCTTCAGTAGTTAGAGGGAAAAGCTTACAAGTGTACAGTATGGATAAGGGACTTAGATTAGATTACAATTTACAAGAAGCCTCTGTGGCATCTGAAGTTGAGAGCATTAATTTTTGTTGGATTAAATGCAAGCTTGAGATTTATTCATTTTATTTATGTTCTTTCTGCCAAAAAGGTACTCAAGGTAGCTAACAGTAAAAACTGAATTAAAACAAAAGCTTAATTAAAACATAGCATAAAAACAAATAAATTATGGACAGAAAACTCAACAGAGGAAATAGCAACACCATCCAGTTAAAAAACAACACAAACTTCCCAAGCAAACCAGTTTTCAGGCCCAGGATGTGCCTGAATTAAAAATATATTTGTCTGCTGGTGTAATGAGAACAAAGACGGAGCCATCTTAGCTTTATTTAGTGCTACTCAAATAGATCTACCTTCTGGGTTTGTATGCTATCCCTATTCTTCCTTTTTTACTTTTAGTTAACTGGCTTGTCATTTCATACACTCTGGGGAACATAGACTGTGGGGACTCGGAATGTTGCATTCAACCCAAGCATTTGAACTCTTGTTTAGAAACCTGCAAACAAAAAGACCAGTTTCCAAACTCCTGCATAGCATGAGATAAGGCGTACATGTGAGCTTGGGAGAAGGCTCAGGTTGTGCAGAACCAAACCATAGTTTAGCATATGTGAAACTCTCTCAAAATCCAACTATACCATTGCTGGAATAGCTTTTAGTACTATAAAGGAGCTGATCCCACCATGCAGGAGCAGTCAAGCTGTATAAACTACTTTGCTTGTTCAATTAATCACAACAAGCCAGAGTTTAAATAATGCTGTTCTGTGTGACTCAGGCCACAGTGCTTCTGGGACCACCACCACCATCCTCGTTATTACACTGCTAATCTACTCAGTCACATATGTTTTCTGGGCAGATTGTAAACATTTAATGAGCTTCACTTTTATGTTTTTGAGCCTCCAGAGGAAAATGTGTTTTGTCTTGCCAGGCTGGTCATTTAAAATAGCAAGTGTCCAGGGGAGTTGTATGTTTCTTTCTAGCAATATAGTTTGTGCAGAGCTTTTTCCTTGAGAATGTGGAATGTGGAAACTGCTTTTTCCTTGGGAATGTGGAGTTAGTAACTTCTGATTCTGGAGGGTTGCTTGATTGTGGAATTAAAATGTTACTGTATGTTATATTAATTTTTGAAGTCCAGCTTTTCAAAGTGTTAATTATAAAAAGTGATGTATCACCAGTTATGTTTTGACATTTCTTTAGACCCAATTTCCTGCTGCATTAACCAAAGACAGAATGTTGTAATTGATGCATAGTTTTTGCATACCTGCAGGCTCGGGTAATGTATGATTTTGCTGCTGAACCTGGAAACAATGAGTTAACTGTTAATGAAGGCGAGATCATCACAATTACTAATCGGGTAAGTTTTTATATGCTCAATGGAAATGGGAGTACCATGTTCTAACCCACTTCTAGGAATTTTGGTCAATATGCTGTTGCAGAACCTGCAAACCTATAGAAGTGCTGCTTATACATTCCCCCCTTCTAACTTGGAGACTAAGGGCAAACAATTTAAGTTGTAATAAGTGCAAGTCCATTTAACTTAAAGATAGTTGATTATTGTGATGCCTCTCTTTTTCTAGACCAAAAAGAAATTTCTCTGGATGGCTAGCTTAAACTGCTTTGAATTGCTCCTCAGTGTTGCAAATGTGTGTTCACAAATCAAATATGTATGAGTCATGTCTTAAAATATACTTTGAATTTTTTGCAGTTGCTTCTGAGGAAGTGGAAAGGATGGGGTTCTTAGGATTGTTAAGTGCTTTTTTACCTCATTACTGATACATTATTACTCTAATAATAAGTGATGAACATTAAATTAATATTGGTCTATAGGTTTCCACCAAATTTGCCAGTCAAAACGACTGTTTCTGCTGTAATTTCTGTTTAATATTTTGTGTGGCAAGGTTTTGAAACTTTATTGAACTATGAGTATAGTCTCTTCATAGAGCAGTCCAAGTTGGGTCTGTATATACTTACATATACAGCATGTGACACCGATCTTATACATGTTTACTCTTTTCTAAGTACACAAGCTTTGGATTGTAGGCTCCAGCTTCCTTGGGTTTCCATGGAGACAGTGTGGTGCAATGAAAGTGCTATTCAGATTAGGGAGCCCTGGATTCAAATTCCAACTCAAACATGACGTTGACTTTCCACATAATTTGACTCTGAAGGTTGTTGCAAAAATAAACTGAAAGAAGGGAGGGAAAAATGTGATGTTGAAGTTACAAATGAATATGCTAAACAGAAAGCAGAAATGTATTTCCTTAAAAACAAAGAAACTTACCTTTTTTAGTGTTAAAAATTTTAGCTATTAACATATGTTTTTATTATTATAGGATGTAGGTGGGGGCTGGCTGGAAGGGAAAAATAGTCAAGGAGAGCGAGGACTAGTCCCAACAGATTATGTTGAAGTAAGATAATAAATATTATTTTATTGTATTATAATTGCTACATATGTGGTACATAAGTAATTTTTCTTTCTTTATTATTAAATTTCTATCCTGCCCATTAGCCAGCATGAATACTTGCATGGGTGAATATATTACACTCTGTTTTGTAAGCCAATAAATGAGATACAACATTTCCCACTGTGCATTGGTTAAGGCAGTGGCATATGCAACTGTGATTTTCAGTATGTAACTCTTGCTTGGGATTTGTCATGTCATTCAAACATTTTTCCTGTATGTCTACCTACAAGTGGCCTGTGGTACACTAAAACCAAACCACAATTTATTAAGATTTTTAACTGTCAGAAATTATTCTTGCTGAAACAAAAGATGATAAGCAGTAGGGTTTGATCATCTCTTATTTGCACAGCACATACACATGGAAGTATCCCATAGGTCAAGGACAGATAACCAGGTTCACTCCAGATGTTTTAAATTACAACTTCCATAATACCTGATCACTGGCCATGCTGGCTGGGCTGATGGAGTTGTAATCCAAAATGTTTGGAAGGAACCAGATTTTCTGCCCTTGCCACAGAGTATAGCAGAACCCCCTTTCTCCCCCACTACACTGAACTACTTGCTGTTTTGCTCTCTTTGCTCAAGGAATCTGATGTCTGTGCCCACATTCTCTTGACTGACCAGAGCAGGGAGCACTGAATGGGGATGGGGGAATTGTATACAGGCCTCTCATTCCCTGCACTAGCTAGCTTAGTAAAGGCCTGGCTTGCTAAATGCATGATACAGGAGACAGGAAGAAACTGTGCTCCATTTTGCTTATGGGTGCTTTACTTATGGCAGAGATTGACATGGGCTTATAGTACGTAAATGGTCTCACATTTTGCTTTGTTTTTAAATAGAAATATTTTATGTGGAGACAATGTTTGTGTGAATTATTAAAAACAGAGATTCTCATCTGGGAAGTTAAACATACAGTCTTGGATTTTTGTATTGTTTGTCTACAGTTCAGAACTGTTTTTTCAGCAATGTTCTGTTTTTCAGATTGTACATGAAAGTGCCAAAGATGGAATTTCAGTGGCTGACCAAGCATGTTTTGACTGTTTCTCCCCAAATACTGCACAGGCTAATTTGCAAGCTGCAAAAAAGAGTAACCAAGTATGTATCTTCTCTGACATTCTTTTTTACAGCATGCTTTTCTTGAATGCCAGAAGTATGATGGATTCTAAAGCACAAAAGAAGCTTGTTGAAGTCTCTTGTAGTAAGTTATTAAAAAAAAAAAACAGAAAAGAGAATTGCTGCTGTTCAGTAACCCTTCTGAATATTAACTCGTTTCTTGGCAGTAGTTATAACAGAAATGGGGAGAAAGCAGTAAGTTCTGCTGATAAGAGCAAAACAACTACTCTGCTAGGTCAGATTAAAGAATGGCATTTTCATCTCTGGCCAGCTAAACCTAGGTGCATAATATATAATAATGAATTGTATAATTAGGAGTTGGTTACAACTGTGGCTACACAATAGAAATGACCATGCTGTAGCTGTGTTTATACCAATAAAGCATGTACATGGTGTGGTGCATCTGCAGCTCTTAACTCTTGGCAAGCAACAATAATGTAAAACTTTGCATGAGTGCTGCATGTGGTTTAGTAGTATAAGAGTCAGTTGCACTTAACTTTGTTATGAGATAAGGAGCTGAATTTAGCAAATACTTGGTAATGTTTGGGAAGGTTTAGTGAACTTTAGGAAGACGCTTCTCCCTAATGTGTATTGTTACCTGATCTTATTTTAACAGCATTTGCCACCGAATGTAATGCTAGGGTAGTATGGTGGTGCTAAATCTTTTAAATTTCTTGTTCTTATGGTGAAAACATCCAGTAAAATCAGCCAAGGCTTTATTACAGCCTAGCTGCAGTCCAGAAATAGAGAAGAAGGGGAGGCTGGGTATAGGTAAGGGTAGGGCTAGCTGGTGTGGCCCCACTCCAGGCTCTCATCTGCAAGGTATGTGAGTCCTAACAAAGGAAGTGGGGTTTAGAATTTTGAAGAACCTTGCATCGGCTCAGCCAGTGGATGATTTCAGTCAAAAGACTTGGCTGGTTATTTCAAATAAATAAGTTCTTCCTCTACCCATTTGCAGCCCTTCCCTGCTCATTCAGTTTGGTAATTTTCTATCCTCTCTGACAGTTCTGTGCAGCCCTGTACTTTTCCCTGTTGAACTTTTCTAGGTTTCTACAGAACTGTTCAAATATTTGACACAATATGTCCTAGCTCTTGTTGAATCAAAAAGCAGCACTTCCAGCCTACATGCCCTTATTCTTCTGGATCCTTCATTTTTGCAATTCTCACCTGTCAGTTACTGAGCCCCATCTTGCTGCCTGACCACTCTTCTTCTCAGCCCTTTCCAGCCTTCCCTGTCTCTAGAGTCAGAGCAACTCAGCATAATCAGAGATTATTAGGCTCAGAAAATTCAGTCAGATCTGTAACTACTATAAAGATCTTTTAGCAGCTCTGATACTGGAACACCTTAGCCAATCATTGCTAGAGTCTTCATGTAGCTGTCACAACTCCCCTTACTATATTGCAGTATAGACTTGGCTCTGGACCAGGGTATCTTTCAACATGGCCAGACCTTTGCAGCAGTCCACAGGTCATGAGCAGGATGGGGCTTTTTCTTCTTTTTTTCAGGGGACAGTGTTCAAAGGTCTCTTAATGCCAAAAAATAAATTTTGAGCTGGGCTACTGTGGCACTGTATTTCATTGAGTGAATAAACTGAAAGAATTTGTCAGCTTTCATCATAAAGACATAAACAGATTTTAGCAGACAAGAAAGTTTACTGCTGTCATGAAAATAACATTTGCAGAACCTTGCTTTGTACTATAATAAATTGCTTTCTCACTTACTTGAAATGGGAAAGGTTGAAAACTGTAGTGACTAAATACTACATCACAGTGATACAGAGTAGTCAATCATTTGACAATTCAACTTGTCTATTTATTATTTATTTTTGTCTGCAGAATAGCAGGCAAAATAAATAATTTTAACCTTAGGGAAAAATAATTACCTTGGGTCACTGTGGTTGATTAATATCTTGATACCCAAAGAAAAGGTATACAGGCATTATATACGTCATACAGGTATTGTGACTAAAATAATACTGAATTCTCAGTACTATAGGATATTCTGTAGCTCTATTTATACTTCAAATTATTTTTATTTATTTATTTATTTATTTAGCAGACTTATATGCCGCCCCATTCGCCTCAGCCTCGGGGCGGCTTACCACATAAATAAATTTCATCAATACAATAAAGTACAGTTGGAGACATCCTGGCCAAAGTTGTTAAAATCAATAAATAAAATCAACAATTAAAATGACGTTTAAATAAAAAGGTCTTGGCCTGGCGCCAAAAAGCAAATAATGACGGCGCCAGGCAGACCTCTCTGGGTAGCGCATTCCATAGGTTGGGCGCCACCACAGAGAAATCCCTCCTCCAGGTACTCACCCTCGTAATGTCCTTCACGGAGGGCTCCCGGAGAAGGGCCTCTGCCACCAATCTCAAGGGACGGGAGGGCACATATGGACGTAAGCTCTCCCTTAGGTAACCAGGACTCAAGCTGTTAAGGGCTTTACAGGTGATAACTAACACCTTGAATTGGGCCTGGACTTCAGTGGGGAGCCAGTGAAGCTGATGGAGGACTGGAGTTATATTTTGAAATATATGTCTTTGTAGGAAAGATATTTACACATGTACAAAGGCAAACAATTTTATGTATAAAGTGACTTCTTGGAATGTCAAGGAACTGTGGAATTCATTTAAACAGAAGACTGTGCTTTCTGAAGTAAAGGTATATGAATATAGTGGGGTGTTTTTTTTTGTTTGTTTTTTTACAAGAAATGCACTTGATGACAACAGTTATATATCAGCTGAAAAGAAATAGGATAGGAGAGGCCCAGATAATTCAACTAGATTTAAAGGGGTAGTGATTGTAATCCATAAAGGATTTTTGTTTTCAATTCCAAAGATAATCTTTGATTCTTAAGTTTGATTTAGATTGTGGGTGGAAAATATGAGAAAGTAATGGCTTTGATTAATGTCTCTGGGTCTAGTAGTGGCTCCCTAACCATCTTTCAGGGATGTTTTAGTAAACTGCTTGACACTGGGGCTGTTCACATGTAATACAAATGGTTACCGTGCAGTTACCTTTCTTACTTTGTGTCCTGTGTCCACACATTCACTCAGGGGCATGCAATCAGTGTCCTGTCCTGTGGCAATTTGGCCATTGCTAGGCAAACAGGACAACAGAAAATGGCAGTTGGGCCACTATTGCTGTTCTTGCCATCAAACCTGCTGACTGAAATAGGGAAGCCAAAGGCCTGGAAAACATTGTGATAGGCATCATACTTAAGAAGAAGCAATAGTGAAACATGGAAACCTTAGATCAAACCATTGATTATCTGGATGATTCATGGTAACCAAACAAGCCACATTTCACCATGCTTCCATTATTTCATAATGACAAGCCATGGCAGGAATGGCTGATGATAACGTTATGCCATTTCCTGTGCTTATTATAAATTGCTAGCTATGGTTGCATGGCAATATATTCAAGAATCTAGGGTTGGCCCTGGTGCATTTGTAACTTCAGAGCCACTTGTTTTATTGGGAGTATGGCTTGAGGCTGACGATAGCCTTCAGTTTGTGTGTGCATTTGTATTTATTATCAGAGAATAAATATGATACATTGGGTCTTAAGCAAGTATGAAATAATGAATTGGAGCACCACATAATGACCAAGCAATGGAGTATTTCATTGTAACCTGTTTTGGAAGGGATAATGGTTTCTGGCTTATTTTTATTTCATAAAAAACTGGTGTTTCAAGTGCAGTGGTACCTCGGCTCACAAATGCCTCAGTTCACGACCAAATTGGGTTGCAAACACAAATTTCAGAAAAATTTTGCCTCAGGTTGCAAACTCCACATTGGGTGACATTGCAATTGTGCCCGTCTTCCCTGCACGGGCACAATTCTGCTTGGGGTAGGTGGGGAGATGGCCGTGATTGTGGTCGCACTCATGCAGGGAAGACGGGCGTGATAGTGGCCATCTCCCCCTGCCCCGAGAACGACCGGGATCGTGCCTATTATCCCTGCACAAGCGTGACCGCAGCCATAGACTGGTGCAATCGTGCTTGTGCAGGGAAGATGGGCGCAATCGCAGTCTTGCTTGGGGCAGGGGGAGATGGCCACAATCCTGCTTGGGAGGGTGGGAGGATGGCTGCGAACTTTGTTGTTCTTTGTTAGTTTGCTATTCTTTGTCACTTTGTTTCAAATTTTTGTGATTAAAAAAATGGTTACAGAACAGATTAACTTTATTTACACTGAACTTTATGGGGAAATTTGACTTGGGTCACGACCAATTTGGGTCGTGACCAGAGTCATGGAACAGAACATGAGCCAAGGTACCACTCTATACTGAACACCACAAAATCTCTTTGATGAGGGCTTAATTAGATTAGCCAGTTGTTAAAAATGTAATGCCTCTAATGTTTCTCTTTTTCATATGTTTTGTCAATATTCAATGGTAGCTTTCTTTTGCGAGGCATTAATAATTTGGGAAAATTTGTAATGGAAAATTATTTAATATTCAGTGATACATGTGCCCTTCTTTACTACATCCCCATCTCCTGGAATTTAATGCAAGTTCAACATAATAGATCTTCCACATACTTTCAACAGTTGAAATACACAACAGGTGAAGATTTTAATAAAACTTTGTTTTTGAACTGGTCATGAGACCTAATTTATGCATTGATAAATTATATCGCTATTTGGGCTGTCCTTTCTAAAGTTTATACAAGACTAGTTTTAACAATAGTATATTTTACTATTTACAAATACATAGGCATATACAACATATATGAAATTACTGTTATGGTCCTTTTTAAATCTCCTTTAAAACCCTGTAATATTTTAGTTTATTATAGCTTGTATTTGTCTTTTTCTCTTTAATCTGTGATTTTAGTTTTGTAACCAAATTTTTAAAAAAGCTCTACTGGCATCTATATCTAGTCCTCTGGGGTTCCCCCTGTGGCTGTCCTCTATTCTCTGGTCCCATCTACTATTCCTCAACCACCAGGTGACCTCCTGTCTTTTGTCCAATC